AGATTGTTTTTGTGATGTTCTGGCTCTTGACATTGAAGCATTAACATTTTGCTTTTTTTAGAACTGAAGCAATTAAACAGTGTTCTGAACTGGATTTTAAAGCTTCCATTTATTGCATATTTTGGTTAAATACTTGTTTAGGATCAAAGCACAGTTGCCCAGAGAAGTTGTGGAATCTCTGTTGGAGTTGTTCACAGAATGACAGCGTGGGTCAGGTTGGAAGACACCACAGCAGGTCATCTGCTCCAACCTTCCTGCTCAAGCAGGGTCATCCCAGAGCACATGGCACAGGATTGTGTCCAGATGGGTTTTGAGTAATTCCCATGAGGGAGACTCCACAGCCTCTCTGGGCAATCTGCTTCAGTGCTCAGACACTTAAACAGTAATGTTGTTCATCCTCATGTTCAGGTGGAACTTGCTGATTAAGCAATACCGGGGCCAGTCTTGTACCTTGTGGAATGCCACTGGTGACAGGCCTCCAACTAGACCCTGTGCCACTGATTATGACCATCTGGGATTTCAATGTTCCCTTATCCTGAGTCAGAAATTCTTGAGGGGCTGTTCAAACCTCATCTGGCCGTGGCCCTGAGCAACCTCTTCTGGTTGGACTTTCTTTGAACTGGACTCCATGAAATCCAGATGTCCTTTCCATTACAAATTACTGTCTAGCTCTGAAACAGATTCCTTTAAAAAAAAAGTCTAAGCAGACATCATAACTCCTGGCTACAGAGGCACACCTCAGCTTCTCTGTGTTTTGCTGTGTTTAGTTAAGTGACTTGTGGATAGCTGTGGAACTTCCAACTGCAGGTTTAATGCAACACTATATTTTTTTTCATTGTCCATTTTTTATTTTAATACTGGATTTAGATGATTAGGAGATGACAGTGTTAGAACTGAACAGTAACTTGGAGTGAGCTCTGGTACATAATTGGATACATTTTGATGGTTAAATCAGAAGCTAAAATGCTTTCATTTTTTGGTGTAGTATGAATGGTTTTTAATATCTGAATTGGGCAATCTGCCTAGAGATGAGACTTGAGTCAGTGATGTGGTAGATGAATGGGTAATGAGACCTAGCAATGGAAGAGGAAGAAGGCTGTTCACTGGGCATAGGAGTTTGTGCACCACAAATGGTTGCAAAAAGGAAGTATGGGGTATGAGTAAAAAAGCAGTGGCAAAGAGGATACTATGTCTCATGCCATCAAAGAATCAGTAGAAGCACAGTAGGCAATTTTCCAGTCAGCTGCCTGCACTGTATAATCCAACATGCATTCTGTCAGAAAAACATCTGGTAGTAGCTGCCAAGTCATATTGACATCAATATACAGTATGATTGTGAAAAGATCAAGTTGTGTGGATTCTCTTACCATATCTTGTCTGATGTGGTAGTCTGTGTTTTCCAGGTCATAGGAAAAATTAAGTGCACATCTTTAACTTGGAATGTTTAGAGTGATACTTGTACTTACATGAACTTCTGAGACATCCTTGTGGCCTTTAATCTCTAAAACAGCCAAGGGAATGCAAATGGTCTGGATAGAGACCTTATTATATTCCAAATTGGCATGATGAGGTTTTCACTTTCATTGCTGTGCGTTCCTTTACCTTTTGTAATGCCAATAATTAAACATTGTATTTAGTCTGAAGTTACCATTCTTTTCACTTCCTGACATTTGGGCCTGTCTTGGTCATGTGCCCCTGCAGCCCAGACACAAAGGTGTCCTGGGCTGCAACAAAGGCAGCGTGTCCACCAGGGTGAGGGAGGAGGTGCTGCCCCTCTGCTGTGCTCTGGTGAGACCCCACCTGGAACACTGCATCCAGCTCGGGGTCCCCAGCACAGGAAGGACATGGACCTGTTGGAGCAAGTCCAGAGGAGGAAACCCATGATTTGAGGGAAGGAGCGCGTCTCCTCTGATGGAAAGTGGAGAGAATTGGGGTTGTTCAGCCTGAAGAAGGGAAGGCTTTGGGGTGACCTAATTGCAGCCTTCCAGTACCCAAAGGGAGCCTATGAGATAGGAAAAGGGAGAATGCTTTTAAACTGAAAGAGAGTAGGTTTAGGTTAGTTATATTGAAGAAATTCTTTACTGTGAGGGTGGTGAAACAGTGTAACAGGTTGCCCAGAGAAGCTGTGGATGCCCCATCCCTGGAATTGTTCAAGGCCAGATTGGATGAGGCTTTGAGAAACATGGTCTAGTGAAGGATGTCCCTGCCCATAGGACATCATAGAATCATAGAATGGTTTGGGTTAAAGCTAGATAATCTTTAAGTTCTCCTTCAACCCAAGCCATTCTATGATTCTATGTTTCATTTTCTTGAGATGGAATTTTAATTTTGGGCTCCTGCCAAGGAGGGTTTACAGGACACAGAGCTGGGGGAGCAGGACACATTGTTCCTTCAAGGTGGCTTATGCATAATAATAAATTAAAATAAAAGTACAAGGGCATATTCAAAGGAGACTGTGCAACTTTCTTATGTTAAAAATTAGAAGTTTCATTCTAAGAATTGCATGGAGCCTTGCCCCACCAAAACTAATGAGACTCATTTTATGCTAGCTAAGTTTCTGGTATCTCTTACCTTGCATCAGGTAATAATGCACCTTTTTTCTCTGACAAAGGCAAGTCTGGAGTCCTGCCACAGTTTTTGGTAAATGATGATTTGTTCTTAATCTCATCCACACAGTATCAGTGGCTTGCTCTGAGGAAATTCTGGAGTTGGGATGAGAGGGAAAGAGGAAGCAGATGAACATCTGATTTCTCTGTGAATGTTTTTATTTCTCTGGAAAAGCAGTCGTCACTGCCAGAAAGAGACAACCTTTATTTCCTCTTGTATGCAGGCAGGACAAGCTGTCTTTTTCATGCCGGTTGCCTTCTTTGAAGAAAGTCTGGCAGAAAGCAGGAATTTTATAAATGTGATCTCCAGTGATATGTGGCAAGGTGCCTTGAGCTGTGTCAGTAGGAAGCACCCAAAATGAAAGACTTCAAGTAGAGGGATAGGACCTCACCCTGAACCAATAGATTTCTCTCCCACTGCTTTGAGAGCAGAATTTTGCTCTGGGAGAAGCTGGCAGACAAGATCCAAGCTGGCTGTGATGGAGCTTAAGACATGAATGAACAATGGGGCTGTCCTGGAGGCATTGACTTTGCTTGGAGAAAATTCTCATAGGACATTAGGACTTGCAGTTATGAATTTTATGAATTTGAGGTTAACTGGGGTTAGTCTTTCTATTTGTAGGTTAAATCCAACTTGCTCTTTCACCACTGATTTCCTGGGATCAGTGAGTGCTGTGTTTTTAAAGCTGAAACTACAGACAAGTTTGTGAGACAGGAAGAGGTCTGCAGTTTCATTTCTGCTCTCTCAGTGAAGCCTTCTTGCTTTAGAACAAGCTGTTCTTGTGGGTAATACCATGTGCAGGGCTTTTGGGTCAGTGCAGCAGGACACATGCTCCTTTCATCTCTTTGTGACTGTTTTTTTTTTCTGTGTCTTTAATCTTCTTTTACTTGGGCTCTTCCTGACATCTTCCTGGCTCTCAGCTGTGCCACTTCACTCACTTTTACCTGCTTCCTTGCCTAAAAGAGAGGATTCCACCCTGGCTATATTTCCCCAAGTCAAGAGAGCTGCTGTGCCTGCCTGGCATGGACTGAACCAGAAGCCAGAGCTCAGCATGCACAGGAGACACGACCTCATTGCCCCAAGGAGTCAGCTCCCACCTTTGCTTGTGGCACTGGAATGAAGTGGAAGGTGGCTCCCAGTCCTGCCTGGCAGGCACAGGCTGGCTCCAGTGGGGTGATTCCCAGCTTGTTCTGAACACAGGCAAGCACTAAGCTGTGCTGATTTCCTCAACCCCAGGCACCAGCCGTGCTTGGGAACTGGCTTACAGCTCTGCTGCTTGCAGAGACAGACAGGAGCTCGTGGTTTGGACTCCTGGTCTTTCTTCCACAAAGCGTGAAGGGAGCAGACCAGCTCCTGGCCCAGCCTGTGGGTAGGGAGTGACTCCTGGGAACCATCTCTCCATGCTCAAAGGAGCTCGCAGGAGACAAGAACTGGCTCTTGGCTTGCATTGCTGCAAGAGTCATACAGCAATTAGGAGAGCACAGAGCAGCTGGGAACCTCTGGCCTTGAGCTTGTCTTCAGAGGATTTCTCTGCCCTATTTTTTTGGCTGAGACAACTATCACATTGAAGTGGGCTCTGTCCTTTGAGACAAATACTTGCTCAGATCTCACTGCTGTTTTCATTACTTACAGTATACGCTGTCTAGTTGCAGAAACGTGTGGTCCTTACTACTGATTGTGTATCAAATAGTTGCTTTTTCACAGAAACTGCTGTGTATTACCAGTCTGCCTAGGGTGTAGTAAACTGTTGCCCAGTTGTGACTACTAAATATGAAGCTTGTATTTAGGTGTGATCATGTCTTGTCACAATGCCCTCCTCCTTGTAGAAGAGATTTAGGTTAAAAACATGCATAGTGCTGGCAATAAGTTTTTATTCCTGCTTGCCATGTCTCCCCCCATCCCCTGTCCTGCTTGTCAGTGCTCCATAAGTAACTCCAGAAAACTGGATCTTGGAATAATGGTATTTTTGCAGTTGATTTGTTTGAATGTGGTGAGCTCTGGGAAAAATATAAAAGCATGAATTATAGTGATACAAAACTGACATTATTAGCAGCTTGAAAAGATTATGCTGAAAATTAGTTAGCTTTAATCATCTTTTTATAAATTGTCTTTTAATTTTAATTTTCCCTTGCTTGAACTTGAAATATCTGAGCTCCTTTTAAATAAATGCTGTGCATATAAAACTTCAAAAGTAAAAGTATTATTCAGGAACTATTTGTGAGGGTAATGATTTGAGTAAACAAAAAACATTAGGTTTGCTTTACAATGTGTTACTAATTTATATGAACAATATCGCTTTCCTGTTATAAAATATTTATATATATTTGTTTATATGTTTTTCTCTGTTGTTATTGTATTTTATTACTAAATGAACACTTTTCTTTTCTTCCCAGAGGATGCCAAACAAGTTTTTGGCCAGACCACGATTCATCAGCACATTCCTTTTAACTGGAATTCCGAGTTCGTACAGCTGCATTTTGGAAAGGATAGAAAAAGACACCTAACCTACGCCGAGTTCACTCAGTTTTTACTGGTGGGTCTAATACAGTATGGCTTGTCAAGAGTAATGGGAAGGAAGCAAGAATCAAAGTATTTGCAGACTTGTCAAATATCATGCTGGTAGCGAAGTTGAAATACATACCAAGTGTAGGCTTTTACAATCAGAGTGCTGGACTTGTATAGTATGTTGATAAATAGGATATGCTATTGGTAAAACTTCTGATTCAGGCTAATTGGTTTTTTTTTTCCTTTTCCTTTGTTTTTGCACCTGTATGCAGAAGGTGATTTTTTTCTACATTGTTGTGTAGATACAGACATGAAATTAAAAATTTAGACTTTGATGTCTGAAAATCTCCTGTATTTTTAAATCTACTAGTCAAAGAATGTTAAATGACAGTATTGAACATTTTGGACTCAACTTGCCAGACTCATATTAGGAAGTATTTCTGTCTGTGAACAGCATGTTTGCCAAACATATATTTAATTCAGAGCTGATATGCAGTAACATTTGTTAAAAGTAATTTCCATACACTTTACTTTTGATCTTTTTTGAATTAAGCTTATCTTAGAGAAGGAAAATTTACTTGTAGCATATAAAGAATAAAATGCTACCTTTTGCAAGGACTTCTTGTCTGTTTCTACTTTCGGGTACTTTGTTACAGGAAGTAAAATTTGCTAATAAAAAACCCCTCTATTACCTGTATTTCAGCAGTACTATTAAAAATAGTCTTCAGTAGGAAAAGAGGTGAAACACATGAGTTTCTTATTTGTATTCCTCCTGAATACTTAATGCCTGTATTAGTATTTACACTAGAGAATTTTAAAATGGGAACCTGCTTCAAGACTGCCAGGTTTCTTTTTTTCTTGTTTACACAAGTATGTTAGTTCACAGTAGGAGGTGGTATCATTTTGATGAGGAATAATTAAGATAATGCTATTGAGACAAATGTTTCAAATTGACTTTGTAGAACAGAGCCTAATTAACTTTGTATGAAGAGGACGTCAGGTATCACATGATTAAATCATATTCCCTTAGGCTTTGTATTGACTATTGTAACTCCTAAGTAGCTAAGACATAAACCAGTTTTGTGACAGAAATAGGAATCAGAACCTCTTTTGAATGAAAAAGCAAATGTGCTACTTGATTAGGAAAAAATGCCTCTGGCAATGTGTTCTGGTATCTCCTTCCAACTACAGAATAAGCCTCGGAAATGTATCTTGATGTTGGTGATTTAAAGTCACAGTTTTAAAAAAGTACCAGTCCTGTTTGCTTCATCTGTTTGCTTAGAGATATGAGGAAAACCTGTAGAAAAACTCAGAATAAAAATGCAACACTTTCTAACTATTAAAAAAAAAACCCAAAAATATGTGTATGCAAGGGTTGTTGAGAGAGGTTAAGAGAGTCTAGAGTCACAGACCTAAAAGAGCTTGCAACGATATGGTTAGGTATTTGGAATATTTAGGTTCTTTCTTTGGGTTCTTTTATGTTTTTAACTTTAATTAGGAAAAGCAAGCACTGAGGGAGGAGTTTTCTAGCTTTGGAGATTAGTCTCAACTATTAGGCTTTCTTCTCATCTTGTGGAGGGATGTTTCTCTTACTTGAAAGGATTTTACTTAGATGGGATGATACTGTGGGGATAATTGGTTGTGATGGAAGATATCAGTGGTCCTAATGAACCAGCCAGCCCTTTGGTGATGATCATATAGGTCAGAGCATAACCCGGGAGAATAAGGATGACAATTCTGGGTGTGTCCACAGAGGTGAGATGCACTCAGGAAAAGTTCTAATGCTGCTAATAAAGATGCTGTCAGCATTGGTGCAGGCAGCAAGGATTTTCAAGTAAATTAATTGATGAAGCTGCCTAGTACCAGTACGATCTATTAGGATGCTCAGTCAGTCACAGTAATTGGGCACATCTGTTTACCCACTTTCTAGAACTGTAAATCCTTGAATCACAAAAGTTTCCCTGCTGATTCTTGCCTTGCAGCATTGGATTACAGACACTGAAGTTTGGGCACAGAAATAGCTCTCGGCACAAAGTGGAGAGTTACTGCTCACAGGCGTGGAAATCTTCCTTTAAGCTTTGTAACCTTTGGTACTCAGCTTTTCCTACTGACATTCAGCCTGTGCATGAGTCAGTCTTTTTAGTCTGATGTCTAGACCTTGGACCTTAGACAGCAGGAGACCACAGTGGATACCAAATTACCTTTCTGCATTCCTGATGTGTGAATGCACTTTACATTGCACTTAACATGGACCAGATGGTTCTGTAAGGTGCTTCAGGTACTGCTTTGTAAGTACAATGCAATTTGCAACTTTTAATGGAATAATCTAGCTAGATTTATTCCTTTAGATTGGGTCCTATTATGTCACATAAACTTGTTCCATGATCATTATCTGTTGAAGCATTTGGACTAATCATCACTTCTGGCAAAGCTCAAGGTAGTTGGAAAATAAGATTAGTGTGTTTTATCATGTACAAGATGGATCTCTTGTGGCTTTAAATATGAAGTATTTATATGGGATTCTGAATATTTATATTCTTCTAGCACTTCTTCTGTCTGCAATAAGAGAGATGCCTGAAAGTATAGCCTCCAAACTCCTTGGCTTTAATGCAGTTAACAATCTATTTGCATCAACCTAGAGCTCAAGGTGTGTTATTTTACCCTGCTCATTTGCTAGCTTAAAATTAGCTCATCTATCTATACTATATATCATTCATACGTATCTGTTTGGATATGGTCCTGTTCCATCTTCACTTAAGTGGCAAGTCTGCCTCATGAAGAGCAACATCAGCCCCTTTCTCAGCATGTAAAATCTATTCCACACAATGAATTCTAACATGCTTATATGTGGGTCTGGTAAAACCATTTCTGCATTGTCTGGGAATTTATTTACGCCCAGAATATTAGTTGAATTAGTATTCTCTATAATTGAACCTTGGGATCTACTCCAGTGGCAAAGATTGTGTTGTATCTGATGACTTGTAGATCCATTGGGATGGAATGCAAACATGAAATTTTATCTAAGTGGAAGGTAAAGAAGCTTTTAATGAGCTGTAAGTGAAAGCTGAGGTAAAATCTCTAGGCAGGAAATAATTTCATTAAAATTCTGGTTCCAGCATGCCTGCCATGATGTATGAATTATTTTTTCGCAGAGTCTTATGCTACCTGGGGGAATTCTGGACTTCCAGCATCAAGGAAGATGCTTGTTTTGGATGTATATCTAAGTTTACAGAAAGTTTAATTGGAAAAGGTTCTTTAGGATGTGTAATTTGTATTTCAAAGTAATGACGATTGTAGTTCTTTAAACCTGAGTCTGTCTAGGTAAAATAATATGGGACAGAAATAAAATTTATAAGTATAAATAAAATAATAAAATCATTGCAAGTCAGATAGCATCTCTGAAGACTACAGTTTTGCTTTATTGTTTTTCAGTTTATTTTCAAGGTGATATTTTTTATATTAGCTGCATATACACAACATATGTTACAAACATCTGATCAAGAATTTCCTGATAAATTGCCAGTAGCTAGTGAGCTCTTTTTGAAACATAGTTATGCTGTGAGTTATCTCAGCTTTCGGGCATGGAGGCTGCGGGTATGGATAGCCTTTTGGGGTAAACACTTCAAGGAGTTTATTGCATTGATGTGCACTGTGCAGTGATTAGAAATGTCTGGTTTGTTTGTGACAGCAGGGATTGTTTGTTACCATGTGATTGTCTGCATGTTCTTGTGTGCCATACTGCTTCCATCCATGGTCATGGCTTGGAAATGTCATGTGGCTCAGGATCCCTGTGCTTCTTTCTGCCTGGTGTAACTGGATAATGTGTAGCACTGCTCAAAATAACCATAGCCTAAAAAGTCTCTGCCTTCCTGAGGTCAGTCTTCTTTATCTGTGTGCAGTATGTGTAAACCATTTTGAGCTGGAACTTAGTTTCTGAGCTAGGGAGGAGGTGTGAATAAGGAGTTTCAGAAGACTGGCATCATCCCATTCAGAGTTTTGTCTTGCTGTCTGTCTACAGCTAAATGACTCTTTTCTGGCTGACAAGGAGGTGGGTAAATGGCAGCACCAAGACGTTGACAATGTGTTTAAACAAGTGGGATAATTCTCTCCAGTGGCTTCCAGTTTACCGAGAAAATTGGAAAGACTCACATTTGCCAGGAGAGGATGGGATGTTTTGGCTTGTTCTCAGCTGTAGCACCTGCAGCCTTTTTGCAGTCAGCTGGGGGATGACAAGAAACATGCACTTGATGCAGCTCTCTGGAGCATGAGCCCTGCTCTGTCCTGTGGCTAAGACATCACTGTCACCTAAGGTCACTCCAGTGGTACAGTACCTCCAGATTCACTGAGGGGTGTGCAGGGACAGGAACAGATTGGACTTCTGCAAGTGGTGTCCAGGTTTTTTTACTGTGTTGTAGTGCTGGATTCTTCAAACAAAACTCTGCCAGGAGTTTCAGTGGTTAAAACAAATTGAATGAAGGAAGGAGACGAAAGCAACATGTTTTTCACGTAATCCTTCTGCTAAATACAATTGATTTTTTTCTATGGTGGTGCTTCCATTTAATGACAAACATTTTTGTTCATTTGTTCATACGTTTCTACCTGCGGGCTGATGAGTGTTTAGGATACAGGCTTTATTATACTTAACTCCTCTACAGAGCTCTCTGCCTCCAAGCAGTTTTCTGCCTCAAACTGATGAAGTCTTTTTGTGTTTTTGTGCTCATCTCACCATAAACCTTCCAAAATTGCTTCCTTCCAAATTTCTGTTGAAATTGTAGTCTCAATTGGAGTGCAGTAAGAACTTGTGTGGCTGCATCCAGCCAGAGTCAGTATTATTGCTGAATTGTTACACTTCAGCATAGAGGTCTGTAATGTAAAGAAAATGTGGCTGAACTGAAATTGTACCACTTCAAATTATAACCCCCACAAGCGTTTCCCATCAAAATAAGAAATTTCAGATTAATTCTGGAGTGAAACATTGATCAGTCTTTTCCCCCTCACCCCTTTCTTCCCTCTGCCTAATATATTAGGAGGTTTTCATCATACAGGGTACATTGCTGTAATTAGTAAGTAAGAACAAAATTGGCAAAGTCAGAAGGCTGAAATAAAAATACAAGCATGGTTTGAGTGGCAGTGTGAACTGAGTGAATAGAAGGAGAGAGGGGTGGCATCTGTAGCCCTCTGGCAGGTCTGATGCTACTCCATCTGAATTTGCCTTTCACCTTTCACTCTTTATTTCCTTGAATGCTGCTGTGAGACAAATATCAACTTATAGGAGATCATATTTACTGTGGATATTTCATGATGGTGACTCTTGACTGGCTCGAGTCTTGTATTAATATGTATTTTGAGGCACATATTTGCAACTATAGTGGAAATAGTTGGATAGTGCCATGGTCCACTGCAAGACTTGCTCCGTATTGTTGACTAATCAGTTTTTCCAGTGAAGAAGTTTTTATAATCCTTGAAACTTAAAGGGAATGCATGGCAATGATTTGTATTCCTCCATTCAGCTATAAATTACAGGTTGGGACGTCTAATTACATCACCAGAATTTTTGGGGTTTTTTTTACAAACCTGTAGAACTGAACAAAAATTCATATGTAATATCCAGCTATTATCTGTGCAGGATTACTCCTTTTAAGTGACAAAAAAATAAAGTAGTCTAACAGTCATTTAAGAAGAAAGGGTGAAGGTCACAGTAGGAGAAGATACAACTTTGAGAGATTATATATTTTTTTTCTCTTTTCTTTCAGAAGGAGATTTGAATCACAAAATGAGATTATCAGGTGGTTGTATCAGATAATATTTATGCCTGTTACTACTACTGAAATACTGAGAACTGATATTTAATCAGTCATGAGACAAGGAGTTCTACATTAAACTGCTGGTGTCTTTTGCAGACAACTTTAAGTGAGGATGCTCTTTGAGGGAATCCTTTCCAGATTAGTAGGTGTCTACATGGAAATCTCTGATGATTTCATTGTCCTTGTTTAGGGAGTAATGAGTGCTTTTACAGAAAGTATTTTGACCTGCTGTGACACATGCAGTAAACTGGGTAATGCACATCATGGAAAACTTTAATGTTCATAGTGGGAGATTACTTGCACTGGTGTGCTGGTATGTGTTCTCCATTTCTCAGTTAAATGAATTGCATGACATAATGTCCAGACAGCAAAGAAATCATGTCCTAGGTGCTGAGGTCAGTGATAGAGACCATAGGAAAGGCTGAATAGAAAAGGCTGAAATTTACATAAAACATACATATAACAGCCAATTAAAATTCGGTTACATGTAGTTGTGTTTTGTTTGTTAAGTATGCATTACTTATATTAAATGTAACTGTTAAGGTGATTATTTTGAACCTAACTGCCTTTTTTCCCCCCCATATATTTTCAGGAGATACAATTAGAACATGCAAAACAAGCCTTTGTACAGAGAGACAATGCTCAGTCTGGAAGAGTGACAGCCATGGACTTCAGGGACATTATGGTCACCATCCGGCCACACATGCTGACACCATTTGTAGAAGAATGTCTAGTAGCTGTGAGTAGTTCTGGTATCCCAGCTGGCAGACCTGGGATACAGATGTGGAATTCCTTTTCTTATGTGCCTTGACACAACACATAGGCCAGCCTCAGGATGCATGTTTTGAAGTCTAGCAGTTCTTATCTACACACAAAGTATGTAGATGGACCTTAGTAATGGCCTACAAATGTTGAGTTTGCCTTTTTCCAGCCATTCCATCATTGTGCCAAATATTTTTGAATGCCATTACATCCCACTTAGGATATCATCCCCAAAGAACTTACTTTGTAATGTAAATTCTAAGCTCCTGAGTGTGATTTCCAAGTACCTGGAACAATGTATGAATTGGAACATCAGCCAAGGACATTCACTGTATCTTGACCGATAGTTTTTACATTTGACTGTATATTTTGTCTCAGTTTGGAGTGCATAAAAAAAAGAGGTACATTTGGTTTTGACCACAGTTTATAATTTTGTGAACTTGTAGCAGCACATTCCAAGTAATCCAAAACTTGGCCATATTCAGGTTTGAAGATCTGCTTAAAGGTCTGTTCTGCTTTGGCTTGCAAGGAAGAGATTTCATCATTTCACTTGCAATTGTGAAGTGATGAGTAGTGCAAACTCTGACCAGAATATTAGAAGATGCATGCAGCAAAATGCATAGCCAGAAGATTTAGGAACTGACAGTGAGACTTGATACTTTTCTTTTGGCTCCCTCACAATCTTGTTACCAGCTTTCCTGTGTCATATGCTCTGTCATAAAACATCAGGTATGATTTTTGATTATCCCTCAAGGTCAGTTAAAATTTGGCAAGCTTATGCATATTTTTTTCAGAAATTTGCTTGATCATTGATCTTATAATTTAAATAGTGAATTGATCCAATATTTTTTTCTGTGTGCAGACCCATCACCACTTTAAGACAAAGGTTTAGTCTCAGTTCTCATTTGAAAATGAGTAACTGTTCAAACCTTATTGTTCCCATTATGTTTGACTGCCTGATATAAGCCTGAGAGCTTACTGCTGGTTTTCCATGACTTGAAATGCCTGTGAATTTAAAGGTTTCAATTGACCTTTTTCAGAATATGTTTTGGTTTTGTTGAAATTTTCTATATAGTAATATGCTTTACATGTAGAAGTAGATTTCCTCATTACTAGAAATAAGCCGACTTATGAAACATTTCCAACTGAAGCAGGACTGAAACTTGAACTTTGTAAATTACTACTGGTTATGTTGTTATAATCCTGCATATGTATTTGTTTAGGTTTGTAGGGTGGGGAGAGTTTTATATTCTGGTCATGATTAGTTTCAGTAACGTAAGAATCTTTCGTAGTTTAAAGTTCTTTATTTTGAAGGTTTTTTGAAAAAGCAAGCCTGTGTTGCTGTCACTCTTGTAAAAGAACATTTTTTGAAAACTTTCATTTCAAGTTTTTTTTAGTCTTGTAAATATCTCTGTTCTCTTTTCCTCTTTTACTGTCTCTAGGCTGCTGGAGGTACCACTTCCCATCAGGTCAGCTTTTCCTATTTTAATGGATTTAATTCTCTCCTTAACAACATGGAGCTCATTAGAAAGATCTACAGTACTCTGGCTGGAAATAGAAAAGATGTGGAAGTCACTAAAGGTTGGTAGAAATATTTGCAGTCTGGAAGTTTCCTTGGGTATTTGAATGGAGGGAAAGGCCTCATCTGTATGCTTTTAAATCAGTGGGGGCAGGGGGGGAAGCCTGCCTCGTTACCTCTCCTTGGTTTGCCACTCAGTTTTGTGCAGTCCTGTCAGAGTGCACCCTCCAGCTTTTTCATTTTGTTTCAATCAGAAAAAGGTCCTAGTAAACTGGTGGTGGGGGCAGGGTGAGGAAAGTATGTAAAGATATTTAAAAGTTTAAAAAACTTCCTAGGACTCCTGCCAAATTGGCAGCCTATTAAAGTGACCTTCAAGGGTAGTTGAAGAATTCCATAAACTTGTATTGGCGGCACAGTAAGCTGATCTACAAGCTTGGAACAAGATGTTATCTGCTATATCTAACCACTTTTATAGAGAATTCCCTGTGCAACACCAGAGTTTCATTAATGTGGCCTCCTGGGACTATGCATGAAAAGTTCCACATCTCTTGACTCCTGTTTTGGGGGTTTTTCTTTGTTTGCTTTTTATTTTATATTTTTCCCTCTGACCTGCAGCTGATTGATACCGTATGTCAAATATCCTAAATCCTGCTGGTAGTACTAAGGTTTAAGACCAGAGAGTTGTACGTACTTGCATGAAGGACAGACCATTTAAAGCACACATTTATGTAGTGACAGGAGCACTTCTGTTTTGGGTAACTTACTCCCCTTTCACCCTCCCCAACCAGCGTCTTCTACTTTATACTAAAATACAGTGCAGCTTTGGGGTGCTCTGGATTATTTCTTCTGGTTTGATTTCATTTAATTTTCTGTATTTTTATTCTGTTGCAGAGGAGTTTGTTCTGGCAGCCCAGAAATTTGGTCAGGTTACACCCATGGAAGTTGACATCTTGTTTCAGTTAGCAGATCTTTATGAGCCACGAGGGTAAGCGGAGAATTATCTATCCTCCTCTCTTTTCTCTTCTCTTTTTCCTGGAAGGAGTGGGAGGTGATGTTGGGGAGCAAGAGAGTTAGTGTAGTGGCCCACATGCAGGTAACTTTCAGTGATCTGAAAAGCAACCTCTAAGTGAACACTAATGTGAATTAATTTCCTCAGGCGCATGACGTTAGCTGACATTGAGAGAATTGCTCCTCTGGAGGAAGGGACGTTGCCCTACAACCTGGCTGAGGCTCAGAGGCAGGTAAGAACAGAAGCCAGCAGGATGCTGTCATTTGTTTCAGTGCCAGGTAAATAGACAGCCAACCTCTTCCTGTTGTTGTCATCTAAGTTGCTTTTCTCTTGTGTTCTGTAATAACTGTGAGGAGTAACATCTTGTTAGAATTTATTTTTTAACTGTTCTCTCCATCTCTTTGTGCCCCTTCCTCTTGGGCTCCATTTTAACAGGTCAAATGTTATTTACTTTGGAAAGGTAATATGTATAGCAGTGTCATCTAGCCAGTCAGTAAATATTAGATGCATGCTTCATTAAGGTGTTTATGTTTTGTGATTCTGTTGCTCTATGTTCTTTTTAATGAGGAAAGGAGAAAAAAATTAAAATTCAGATTCTAGCCTATGAAATGGCAGCCCTTATTCTGAACACAAAAGCATGTTCCTGGCTTCACAATGTTCTCTGCTTTGCTTTATGTTCTGCTGAATATCAAAATAGGAGAGCTTATGTATAGACTAATATCACAGTTTCAGTAAAAGTATGTCTAAAACCTAAAGGATATTTACTTTCAGTGGTATAACCACAAATGGACTTTTTTTTTTGATTTTGAGGCAAAAGGAAATAGGAGTTTTCCTTAAATGTCAAACCAGTTATCTTTTAGTTTTCGTATTATCATATTTTGTATTTTCATTGACACAAGTTTCTATATAGATAGATTTTAAACTAACCCTCCTGTTTGTCTCTATTTTAAGGCAGTCTTAACTTTGTGTCTTGTGAGACTAAGGGCTTTTTGTTGGTTTTCTTTTTTCCTGCTCTGGGTCTGTGCGGAGACGCCAGTTTGACCACACTGAGTTGATCCAGGCTACATTTTTAGGACTACCAGGCCATAAGCCAGGCCTCTGTGTGTGTGTGTGTACACATGAGTCTCTTTTTCTTCTCTTTTTTCTTCTCCTGCCTCCCCTACATGTGAACACCCCCACCACACCTCCAAGACAGTATCTGGGGTGGTGGTTTTCTGTTTGTTCAAGCACTGACTAAATGGTGATGATGCTGGGCTGAATTCAAGTGAGCTGGCTCCCAAAAGCTCACCATCTATTCCTAGAAGACTCCTAAAGGAGTTAAAAGCATTTGCATTGGGCTGAATATCAAGTAACATAAGTTACAATAGGTGGCAGTAAAAGGTAGAGAAAAATGTGTGATGAAAGTAGCAGCTTCTGCACTTTTTCTTTGGGGCCACTGTCTCTGCGACCATGATTTATGTTGTTCCAAGAGGTGAGGACAATGAACAATGATCCTTAAATCTTTCCATTTCTTCTGTGTATGCATCCCACCTTTTAATTTTTTTCCACACAATTCCTTTTTAATGTCAGCTGCTTGATGCTGAGACTGAAAAGATTTTCAGCTACATTGATATCTTTAATTTATTTCTGGTCATCTCTACCTATATTGGAATTAACTAAAATGTAAACACAGGAAAATGTATACATATTTTTATTTTGTTGCTTTACTTATAGTATCCTAAAAAGAACATATTGCAAAAAGTGCTAGTAAGTATGAAAGATTTAATGCCCCTGCAGAACTTTTGTTTTCTTCATTATCGTCTTTCATTAGATAGCGATTTTAAATCTGGAACACTTCTGAAATTTATTTTTCATTGAGTTGAATCTAGCGCTCATAGACTGTGAGCAAAATGAAATTGTGGAGATGCTTTATGGAACCTTATTTTCCTTCAGCTAATCTGTGTGAATGCTTGCATACTTGTTTTCGTAGCCTGGGAAGTAATAGATATACCTGGTTTTGGCAACAGTAGAAAGAAATTCCAAGCTGGAGTTGCTTTTAGCTGTAGAAGATTAATGACTGAAGAGGCAATATGTAAGCCCTCATTTAGACCATTGATTTTAGATTTGTATGATTTTGTTGTAGTATCTATTTTCTTTCCTATTCCACTCTGAAGAGGCTGCCATATATGACACTTAGAGATGAGTGGAAAAGAAATAATAATTGAGAACAAAATCTCTAGTGTATTGTGGAATTTTTTCCAGGTATCCATATACTTATATCTGTCTGATCATGAAATGTTCTCTTGGGAAATGAGATGTTTTGATTATTTTTCTTGTCTTTCTTTGTGTTTTAAATCCTGCCTTGACAGAAAGCTTCAGGCGATGTGTCTCGACCTGTTCTCATCCAGATTGCAGAATCAGCGTACAGGTTTGCCCTTGGTTCAGTTGCTGGAGGTTAGTCATGGCTGAGCAAAAGAATATTCATCTTCACTGTTTGGGTTTTTTCTTCTTTTCTTTTGCCCTTCTTCTCCTTCTGCCTCTCATTTAAGTGTTAAAGGCTTCTCAGACTTTCCCTTGGAGCTGTGTCTAAGGGGTGGGATGACTCTAATATTGAAGGGGAAAGGATCATGTCTACAAGAATTTTGGAATTTATGAGCTGTTGGAGTTTCCAGGTGGTGTTGCTATCTGACTTGTCCCCAGACATATTTCAGGAAAATTAAATTAATAATGAGGTAGGACTGGAAAGTGTATTTGGTTAAAACTGTGTGAGGTAGTTTAATGTATCTAGAACATACTATGAAAAAATAAAAACAACCTGATATGTTAGATGTAAATGTGAAAGATGACAGTTGCAGTCAGTGCAAATGCAAAGTCATGTTTTCTTATATCTTGTATTTTATTTGCAGCTGTTGGAGCCACTGCAGTGTACCCAATTGATTTAGTGAAAACTCGCATGCAAAACCAGCGTTCTACAGGCTCGTTTGTGGGAGAACTAATGTATAAAAACAGCTTTGATTGCTTCAAGAAAGTGCTGCGTTATGAAGGTTTCTTTGGGCTTTATCGAGGTAAGTTTAAAAGGTGTTATATACTAATGATAAGATACTATTAAGAGTTTTGTGTGACTGGATTTTTGAGTCTTTTTAGTTCAGACTTCAGTTTTGCTTCTTTGTTACAGGGGAAGGATTTGCAAACTTCTCGGTAATTAAAACTTCACTGTAATGAGAACATTGCTGTAGGACCTATCTGTCCTTTCTCTCCTCATCTGCCATAGGGGAACATTAGCAATTTCCTACAGCAAAAATATATTGTTAGTAAAGTTCTAATTTCCTTAGCAGTGCTTAGTGCCTAGAGTGTTTTGTCCTGTTTGGTAAGAAATTAAATAATCTATGGTTTTTGTTCCTTGCAGTACTTTTTGTTGTGTTTCTTTTGAGACAAAAAGGTCTTTGCAAACCAGTTGCATTTGCTTCAGTAATCTTTGGATATAGTAATCTTTATCAAGTTTTATGTATATCTTTTCTTGGGTTGTCACTGTGGAGTCAGCCAGAGTGATTCATTGGGTGTCAGCCCACTTATCTTTATATATGAAACCAATACACTTAAGTTACAAAGTTATCCATTCCAACCTGCCTTTATAGCCAGTGGAGAAGGCTCCAAAATCCATTGACCCTGTTCAGGATGTAAATCATACTCACTTTGGATATCTTAGATAAGTGCCTGAAGTGAAATGGTGGCTTTTTTTTTTTGTTCTGTCCTTGTCCCAGTTGTGGCATCAGTGGTGTCAGTTCAGGTAATTCAGGAGGAGTCATAAAGAATCAGGAACCTCAGCATGAGATTCCAGTTCTTGTCTGTCACAGAGTTAAAGTAAATGATATTTCTGATGTCACAATTATTGAAATCTTTTATGCCCCTCTGCCATGTTCATAGGGGAGAATTTGAAACTTGCATTACTGACTTCATTTTTAGCTAGCTTGCTTAGAAACTTCTTTTCACTTGTGAAATAAGAATATTGTAATGAAACAAATTATTTGTTAAAGGCAGCTGAGTAAGGAATGAAGAACAGAGGATTTTAGTAACATATTGTTATGAAGTGGCAAAGCTGTGTGCACCTTAAAAAAAAGGAACAATTCATAAAACAATGTGGGAAACAACATTAAAACTAGATGGTGTGATAGATATGCACACTCTAACATATGGCCTGAGTGGCTAAGTAGCTCCTCTGCAAAATACAGACTCTGTAATTATTTCAGCACAATTGGAGATGGGAAGACTCTCTTATTACTGACTGAGTTTGAGGCCATTTTTGGAGTAGACATAATAATTTAATAAAGAGTACTGACATGGTCTCTATTTTGTAAGGATTTATAGCAATCAGGATCTTTCAAAAGTCACAGTTATTACCTAAAGAACCAAATGTATTCTTTGCAAATTTTTTCTGTATCTTCTAGCATCCTGAAAGAATAAATATGCAGAATTCTACTATTGCCTCCTTCTGTCTTATTGAAATTCTGAAGGACAGTGATTTTTTTTCACCTGGGAAAAAAAAAAAAAACAGATAAAAAGTCAGAAATGTCATAAATGCATGTTCTTATCTCCTTTTGCTTGTCCTGAGTTTGGGATGATTTTTTTCATTGCCAGGTTTAGGGGATCATAGGAAACTTCATCAGTACTGGTTGTCCTTCCATTCCCCATCATCTTTACTGCTTTCCAATTTTCCAAGGAGTACTGAATAGTGAAATCTCAGTTTGGTGGAGCTGAACTTCTAAGACCAGGACAATAATCTAATTTCTGGCTTATATAGTCAAATACCATCATTTTAGAGGCAAATTGAGACCTGCTGTTCCACAAATTCTCTCCTTAAAGAGCTCTCTCACTTAGCTCTTTTTAAAGAAGCAAATAGAGAAAACTGCTTAAAAATCTGCATCTTCTTCTGTGCAGTTCTGCAAATTCAGACTGTTGCTCACTCTCTCAGGAGATATTGAAGAAAGTTATGGAGTTGAGTGCAAAAGGAAGTTTCCAGTTAAGCTTGAGAGGAAGGAAGATTTGAAAGGAGCATTTTATAGATTAATGTAATTACCCAATGTAATACAGTAAACATTTAGCAAGAGTCATCTTATTCTAGTCTTGAATTCTACCCTAGGTAGGACACACTACAGAGTACATTACTTTTTACTACTCATCGATCACTGCAATTCTTTCTTCAGCTGATTTCTTCAGGGTTGAGTCAATGTGGGTGGTTTTGTCCCACTGAAGGAGGGAGTAATCACTGGGAGACTTCTCCTTGGCTGAGTAGATGCAAAAGCTTTTTAAAAATTGTACTACAAACATTTAGAGCAGTGTTCGCTTTGTCATGATGCACTTCAAGAAAGCAAGCAGAAATTATAAGCCCCACTCTGAACTCAGATATTTCAGATATTCTTAATAAAAGGCTCATATTTCCATCCAACAAAGTGAACTAATTTTTCTTTTTTGTACCACTGTTTTTTTCCAAACTTGGTTTTAAACCACCATCTCAGATAAGGATAAATTACACCATCTTGTGGATATATAGGGAGCACTAAATTTCATTTGATGTTAGTTTGGTTCTAAGTGTAATCAATGTTTCCACTGAGAAGACTCTTGGATTAAAAAAAAAAACCAAACCAACAAAAACAAACATGATATAAACCTCTGTAGAGTCTTTATAATATGCATTATATGAATACTATGTAGTTAGCATTTTTTAAAGACTTTATATCTGAGATAAATTTTTCATCTGTCTCTCAGCATGGCTAAAAAGAATGCTCATCTCATATACCTGTAATTTACTGTTGTGTCTACGTTTATACCTGAAATGCATATTTAGAAACTCACAGGTATTTTTATACATGCAAATTTAAGAGAATTTTTAAAGCTGTGATTTGTCAAGGTCTCTTCCAACTGGTGAGGTCACCTACATGTCATAATAGAATTTTAATCAGAAGTCCACCTGATGAGTCACAGAATGCTTCACAGACTTAAACAGAGCATCCAGTAGAGATTATTTCACACATACTTGATCGAAGTTTCCTGGAAAATTTAAGTACCAGAGATAAAATGTAGTTTAGGAGAATGTTTGGTAGCCATGCTGTTAATGCCACTTTGCCTGGAGGATGGAAAAGAGAGGGAATGCTATTGAAGACACTGTCATCTGTGGTCATTAGCTGTTCAGGAGCTTGTTTGTTAGTTTTATTTCTGTTGATGGTGCTTCTAGCCCTGCAGTGACTCCGAATGCCATCTAATTTAGATTTTAATGATTTGTTCATCATCCAGCTTCATCATTACTGATGGACTCCCATGCTAATGATGCGGAAAGATTGTGGCAGAAGCTTTCCTTCCAAGTTATGCTATGGCATACCATATATATAGATGGGAACTACAAGCCTACTTGTACCCCAAGTTCTGTCAAAGCACAAAATTTTCAGGAAATACTCCATTTCCAGTTTGAGGGAGCTATATTTGAATGGCAACTGGTGATTAGTTGTCTAGTTTATTGTGTGAATCCTGTAATGGAAAAATGTGGCAGTTTTCCATTACTGCCTTCCTGTGAGATGCCCTAATGGTTTCAAATATTTTATCTAGACTGAGCAACAGAACCTTCAGTCACTGTTTTTCCTAAAATACAAAGGGAAAATCACATCTGTTACATGGTGTGAAACTGAAACTTCCCTGTTAGACATCTAAAAATATACTTTGTCCCAGTAAGATTTTTGTTTCTCAGTGCTATCAGTGCTATCAGTGGGCTGGACGAGCTGTTGTGTGTGTGTTCACAATGTATTTAGACTGCTTTCAGAAAATAACTTGTAGGGTGTCACAAAATGAATGCAGCTTTTGGTGCTCTGTCTTGCACACACCTTCCCCTTCCCTGAGAGTCCCACTATGACAGTGTGTCAGATACAAAGTGGTACATTGTAATTGCTGCTAAAAAGCCTTGGATATAAAAAGGCGCTGAATAATGTGTTTACTATGTACTATACTCGCAGGCTGCCTATGTGCAAGATATTCTGCTCTGATGTTATAAAAGGCATGCATTTTTAAGGCACTGTCAGACATTTCTAAGCCTGTTCCCCATCTGTGTATATGTCATATTGCTGATCTGCTAATGCATAGTAACGCTAAGAAATTCCCACCGTGTCAAGATAACCCCAACAGAAATATGACATTTTCATATGGGGCCTTTGATGTGCTTGCTTTCTTTCAAAATTTAGCATCTTTATCATATCTAGAAATTTTGTGACAATGTTTCAGGGCTCTCATCAAAACAATAAAGAAAAGAAAATTTAATTTTGATGGTCATAGCATATAGAATGCACAGGTACTACTTTGAGATGGGTATGAGATCAAATGAAGGGTCCCTCTGCCTTCCTAAGATGCTGGAGACAGTAGACCTAGCTGTACCTGGTAAGGCTATAAAACCTGGTCTTAAAATTCATGCTGCCTGTCATAGAATACTGTTTGCTATCTTGCAGTAGATATATACAGCATTATCTGTAATTAAACTTACAAAGCACTTTTATACTATAAAATCATGTGTGAAGTAGAGGCAGGAAAAGAGAAAAATATTCTAGGTTTTGGTTGTTCAGATGGGTTTTTCTGGTGTTGGAGTTTTTTAAACGGCTGCTTATTCTATTTAATCTTTCTCTTCCCTACCTCGAAGTTTTATGGAAAACGTTGAGTTGTAACAGTCCCATTCAGATTTGAGTACAAAAGAAATAAACCAGATGGGAAAAAATAACTTGTGCCAAGATAAACATATTTCTATTATGACTTTGCCAGTGTTTTTGCAAATGCAAAGTTTTGGGAGCTGAAAAATGGTTAAAAGGCCATCTTCAGATCAGTTCAGTGAAAATGGATTTGATTTGTCCTGCTAATGTTGGTTCTAAGATTGGAGGTTTATGCAGATCATCAACTGGACTACTTTTATACTATTCCTATCTTGATATTTTAGAATGTCTCTTTCTGTGATTTATTTGATAAAATGCGACTTGAAAGTCATGGTATATATAGCTTGGGTGCAATAATATATGTATATGTGATTTTAAAATTATTGACCTTTGTATTTGGAATTGTATCTGCTATATCAGACCTGCTTAATTTTGCTGGCTTTGGCTTAAGATGTGCATTTAAAGTATATGGAACATTTTTTTAATCTCTGAAGCTACAAAGTTATTTGCCATAATGTTTATATAAAGCCACACATGTCCTATAGCAAGTTGTAAATATTATAGCAATTACAGAGATAATTTTGTAATGAAAAAATCCCGTTCATTTTATATTATTCTGTTTCCCTCATAGTGCTGCAAATAATGTAATATTTAATTACATAATTCTGAACAGCTTAATGGTTTTTCATTGAGGTCTGGTTTCACATCAGCTATAGAAGTAACACTTTTTAAGAAACTCAGATTCTAAAATTTAACTTATTCTGTTTTTGGTTTTGAGCAACTGTATATGAACTTAGTGCTACTGTATTTTTAAAACTGAATATTCAGTCATATGATCATAATGCAGCATAGTTATCTTGGGTAAATGTTACATGTATGTGTACATCAGTATAAAGACATCAGTGTATGAACATGGTCTCCTGCTACCAAAAACCAAATTATGCTTTTCTTCAATGCCAATTTCTTATTAAGAGGATCAGTAGGAACCAGTAAAGCTGATGGATGATAGCAGGATTGAAGAATATACTAAATCAGACCATGTGCATTTTTCTCTGTGTTATTCTGTCATTTAGTTCCTTAAGAAAATGCTTTTTAGCAGGTTAACTTTTAGAGGTGGAAACTTAATTGGTTTTGGGGTTTCTTTTCAGCAAAATAAAACCATGGAGAGGTGAAAATGTCAGGCTTTGTAGAAAGCACCCAAATGTGCTGCCTGAGCTGGCAAAACAAAGGGTTCTGCACCAGGAGCTCTAGCTGGGGTGATTTTCTCACATTTTTGAATGGTGTCCTAATTTCATTATGCTGATGAAGGCTTGCAACACCATTCTAGCTTCAGGCTTAGTTGGTAAGCTTTGCCTATTTTTAGGCTGTGTCATTCAAATGTTTACAAAATATCGACCATTCACTTCAAACAAGTGAAGCTGACAGTCAGAAATTCACACTTCCAGTTCTGTAACACATCACTTCTAACAAAATAAAATAGAAAATTCCGTACCTGCATAGAAAGCAACATAACTTCCTTTGTTTTAAGAGCTGATGATTTAGCTGGGCAAAGAGCTCAAGAATGCAGTCATACATGTTTGAATGTTTTGCATTATTTTGATTCCTATCCCCTTCAGTCCTGCCATCTAATGCCATTGTTTTTGCTAGGAAAAGGTACTGAGGTTTTGACTTTTGGAGTGGATTCATAGTGCATCTCACAAAATTAATTAGAAGGTCTTGATTTTTGTGTGAAGATGCAGAAAATAAAAGTCAGCTTAGGACATTACTGAAACATATTTGGCAAATCTGTATTAGTGTTTTAACATAAAATGAGCTAGCATGAATTTAAAAGAAAAAGAAACAAATACATATAGACAGTGGTAGCACTTGAAGTGGTAGCACAAAGTTTGTTCTCAAAATTGAATGTTTTAAGTACTCTCATTATATATAATAACACAAAATTGCTGTAAAAATCGCCCGTTTCTAGGTGCTGGTCTCTACATACATTTGTTGATTTGTTTATTTAATACCAAGTTACTCAATGCCTTAGAATTCTCTGTTTCCATGTTACAGGTCTGTTACCACAGCTATTAGGAGTAGCACCAGAGAAGGCCATAAAACTTACTGTAAGTTTGTAAATGGATTTTTTTTCACATTTTTCCACATTGTAAAATGCAGCAAATTAAAATTGGCAACTGTTGATATCTGACTTGTGAACAGTAGAGGTGGTATACAAGTCTCATCCAGAAGTGTACATGTAAATTTTAAGAATCTTACTGAAAACTTATTTTTGGACTCACTCCAAAATAGAACAAGCTCATTCAACTTGTTCAGCTCATCTGCTTGTTTGCAAGTAGCATAGGCCTTTGGTTTCACTTCTTAGCAAATCAGAATAGTTATTTATTGGAGGGATTTTGTTTTTGTGTCTCCACGTGGTTACTGTATGGATGAGTCCTGTGCAATAGGAGATAAATAATATGAGTATGTAGTGAATTGTTGGTAAGAAAGGAACTTGTTTGTGTGATGTTTTTTTCTAAATGTTTTACTTCTGTAATTTTGTTATTTCTTAAGTGTTTGTAAGGCACTTAAGAATTTCTTATTATAATCCAATCATAATATATTGTTTATTCACTGATAAGACAGTATTCATCAAAGCTAGTAGTATGCATTTAAAAAAAGGCATGTAATGCTACTAATTGAATTGCCATTGTGTTACAGCTTAGTATTGAACATTCTGATATTAATTTGACATTTTAATTTGTTAATTTTAATTTTTTATTAATTTGACACCTCTAAAATATTAATGTATTTTATAATTTTATGATTTTAACAATTACATTATTAGCAATTATTTGTTTTTTGAATAATAAGTATTTGAATTATACTGCAAATTCGTGTTAGAAGGAAGAACATAGCTTTAGAATATTTAATATAAAATCTAAGACTTTGATTTCTTTGATATCTTGTAGTTTGCTAGCATAGTGGGTATATTTGCATTTTCATTTGCACAGAATTTGCAGCTGATGAGTGTTTTCTCTGACCTTTTAATTTATCAGCTTTCATAAATGTTTGTCTTTTAAGGTTAATGATTTTGTGAGAGATAAGTTCAGGGCTAAAGATGGATCTGTCCCACTGGCTGCAGAAATTCTTGCTGGTGGCTGTGTAAGTATCTTTTATTTCCTTCATATGACATTCATGAAACTGCAGTTCATAAGATTAATTGTGTGGACTAAGGCTTCTGTTTAACCACAGATCCGGTTCAAGAGCAGACTCTGCTAGAGCATCTCAGTTCTTTCCTAGATAGGCCAGCCGCTCTTGATGAAAGGGTAAATGTTCCTGTGCATCGTGCCTTTTAACTGCGCTCTCTAATTCTCACAGCTTGGAGTTTGTTTCCTTAATCAAGAATGTGTCTTTATTCATGTTGGCTGTAGCTTATGGCCTAAAGAGGATTCATGCTAACCTTTCCAGAAGTTAATAATTAGTTACTACTTTGTGGCACCCACTCTACCACGTCACTTCTTTCCTGATGTGTTATTGCACCCACTAATTTTCACTTTTTGCAGTGATACTGGCTTTTTGAAATGGCAAAGACTGCTCATGCTTCTTTGAGTTCGTAGCAGACGTAGGCTGTGTAATGTTAACTCAGAGCATAATGCATTCCTGAATGTAGGCTGTATTTAAAACCCACTAAGATTTTAAGAGTGTTTTCCTTGCACAAAGTAGTATCTTAATGAACAACTGGCGCATTACTGGGTAAATGATAATACTTCACTACTTGGTCTAGTTCTGTCTGTTCATATTACAGCTTACTGTATCTGCTGTATTGATTTGTTCAAGCAAATGTAAATACTTTAGGTGAAACGAATAGTTGTTCAAAGACTGGTGCATTTTGCAGATAAAGAGCACTGTTTATTTAAAACAGCTTTGATCACTGGGGCAGAGCAATGTTGGTGTATTTTTAATCTATCTTTGTTTCTGCTGTCATAAGACAGATGAGGTCACATTTTCAAGCAGCTTCTACCTGTGTCGAAAACTACAGTGAGCAGCAACTTAAATAAAAATGCTTGCATCTTAACCTCAGTAGGTGCAGAGATTTGTGCTGTGTGTGCTTGCAGAAAGTGAACTACGATTATCTGAGCCTTAGGGTGCAGGGGCTCGCTTGCATTGCAGGCTGAGAAGCCCTGGCTTTCTGTAATTCTCAGGAGATGGGGCAGGATTTGGCTGCTGTCTCACTGCTCCTTCTGTTTGATCACTGACCTGTTGTAGACTGCCAGGTAGGATCCCCTTGTTCTGTAACTTTAGGAGCATTCAGGGAAGAAAAAAAGAAGGGGAGGGAGAGAAGAATGTGGGTCTCTAAAGCAGTAAATAAAAAGCATGCTGTAAATGAAGGAAAAATGCAATAAAGTGCTTGCAGAGTAAAACGTATTTGGCCCTAATAAAAAGTCTCATGAACATAGCAGCCATAGAGAATTCTACAAAATTTTCATTTAAAATGTCATTTGATCTAGAGTTTTTATTTTACAGACTGCTGTGAATTTTTTAATGCAGTACAAAAAGCACTCTTTACAGAGACCTGTCATTCATGAGAATGCTGCAGCAAGCTTTTTGCCAGCAGTTCATTGTAAACTAAGGATCTGCTTTAAGAGATAGGTGATTTGAGATGTATTTTAAATGTGCTGTAAATGTTGGCTTGTCCTAAATTTATATTAACAGTGAGATGCTGCATGAAGTTGTAGCAGTAGACATGCAGTGGCAGAATGCCCTGAGTTTTCTTTTAACTGCACTGCTCCACTTAAGGGCATAGTTTGGTGCCAGGTAGATAGGTTGCAACTTGTCTCTTCTGCAGGTGGTCTTTTGGTTCTTTTGTAATTTTAAACCCAATTCAGACTAGTAACAGAGCCTCTCATTATCAGCAGTTCCTAGGTTTTTTGGGGTGAATTTTTCTGTCATAGTGTAAATATATGTGTCAGATATGAGATGCCAAAAACGTCCTTTTTCCTCTAGCTTTCAGCATTGTATTGGTCCAACTTTTAGTCCCCGTTTAAGCCATTGTGAAACCTGTGATTTCATTGTGGAAGCAGCACGGACAGTGCTGAATGCTCGAAAATTGTCACTCTTGGATTTTTACCTCATTTCACAATGTAGTAATTGCTTATGTGGGAGGCAAGAAGACAGGAGGGCATGATGTGTTAAAGTCTAAAAAGGGGAAGACAACTAAGATTAATTTTCTAAGACTCCTGCCCTATCACCTTTCCATGTTCTACGTCTAGTTCTCAGCTGGGATTGTGTTACAAACACAGATTTAAATTTTTCTTCTTCAGTGCTTCTGTTTCCTTGGAGTGTATTCATTGCTTATGCAAGAGCTGAGTGCTAGGATGCATGCTAGTTTGTAATGTTTTAAATAGCAGCCCTGTGTATATGGTATAGTAATAATACCTAGGAAAGGGAGGACAGGCAGATCCTTGGATAGGTTGGATTGTTCAGTAACACAAAGGGCTTTGAAGGGGTCAGTATCACCTGAGTAGCTCCACTCTGCTGTTTGCCCAACCATTGCCAGGCATTGACTTTTAAGTCTCCAAGGAGTTCACTTTGCATCATAATTACTGTGAATTAGTACACATGGCTGACTTTTGCACTTGTAACTAAAGCTGATTGTTTCATTGAACAAGTCTTTTTCTGTTTTGTAAACTGTTTTCTCTCCTAAAAAAAAGAAAGAAGAAAAGAAGAAAATTGATCTTTTATTTCATGACCTTGTGACGCTTAATTCAGTTAACAGCCTGTTTCATAGCTTTTTATTACGTGAAGATGAAAGCGATAGGTTGGTTGAGATTTTTTTTGAGACCCCCAAGAATACAATTAAAAGTATAACCTTTATACTTAAGGAAGGCTTTTATGTAAATTACTAACATAAGATTTCCATCTCCTTTGTTTGTAAGAAATTTTCCTAATGACTATAGTATTTGTTACCCATAAAAATGCATGTAGCTTTCAGATTTGCACAATGCCTGACACCCACCATGAACTCTGATCTCTGCTGTGCATTTTGGACTCTCATCACTCATGCAAATCCTACATAACCCTTATCATTATGAGGCTAGTAAAAATCTTCAGTTTCAAGGCAGGGTGTAATGATGCTGTAGAGCTAAGATCTGCTGAGCATCTAAACCACAAAGCTGGCTTAACCTTATTGAATTAAAATGGACACATATATGCTGGGTTTGATTTCTGCTTTAACTTACCTTCGGAATTCCTTAATAAAAGGATGTGTAAGCTGTAAGTACTATACTATAAATTTTTTTTATAGTGGCAATAATATTGAAATTTCTGGAAGCTTTATTTCATGGTCTTTTACTTGATTTTATATTTTAAATAAAAAGCTATTTTATACTTTTATATTTTAAATAAAGAATTAATTTTAAGTCATATTAAGTTTAGCTGCTTGCTTTTTTAAATCTTAATTCACTTACAGACATCTGTTGAAAGTAATCTGATTTTTTTTATATAGCATTATATATTATTCTTCTTTTTTTTGAGTTATATTAACACATGGAAAAGTCTCTTTGTAAAAGTGTCATAAATACTATATTTGGGGTTTTGAGACATTACCTTTAATTCTAACTTTTTAGGTGAGACAGTAATTTTGCTTAGTACCTTAAAGCAGTTCAACATTTAATGAAAAATTTACGTTTGTGTAACTGGGAAGGAGATGCAAATATGCAAAATAAAGAGGGATATAAAGCATAAAAGAATACTAAGAAAAACACAAGAAGGATTATAGCATGACTAAAGGAATCGCTATATAATGTATGTTGCCTTGTCTGCATATATTAACACAATGATCTCGGTAAATAGGGGCGTAATTTTCAGCAAGAAAAGAGAACTACATTTTGCTTTATTAACCTTTCCTTCTGCTCTCCCCTCTCCTTCTGAAGACACAGTCTTTTCCTTCCCAGCTGCTCAGTATGTGCTCACTATTAGCCAGCTTAAATCATGTAGCACAGTACAATTACAGATCCCATACAGATCTGCTTTTGCTTAAATTGTCAAGGCAATTTTAGGCATATTTCGAGAGACTTTATAGGAATCATAATAAAGTTAAAATGAATCGGACCTGCTTGGGCAGCCTCAGCTCTGCTATGGAACATAAAAATTAGATATGGTTAACATCGAGTGCAAAATCCTGCCCAGAATTAATTTTTATACAGGAATGTGATGTGAAATTCCATGTGAATTGTGCCAAATAACAGATCCAGTGCAAATAGTTTTATTAAGCTACTTAAAACATTTATTTTATGTTTCAGAGAGTAATAAAGATAAGTCCACATCTGAGCTACATTTTCTTCGTGACATTGCAGTGGAGACAGGGGATGTATAAATTGCAATTCCCACATTTAGATCTCTTACTTTCAAAAATTCAGACATTTGGAAGCTGTGGACTAAAGGAGATTGAAGGTGCCGTTCTTGATTTCATTATTATGAAACCTAAATATGTTAACATTCAACTATATTTGGCAAGAGAAGCTGAGCTATAGGTAAAATTAAACTGCACAGTGTATATGCCAGGGGAAAAAAATACCTGCATGTATATCTGGGAAAAAACCAAAAAAGAAGCAAACAATTGCTGTCACACATAAAAGCTTTGGTCTAGTTTATTGAGATAGGTAAATGAAGATGGTCATCTTGATGATTGCTCTTATCACCTTTGACAGCAAAAGGTATATGTCTCTTGAATGCTTAGCAGATTTGTTCTCAGAGGTCTGTTCTCCCTGTGGCTGGGGACCCATTACTTTCAAAGAGAGTCCTACCTGCTTGTGTATATCCAGTTTTCATATCTGCTATAAGGTAAACTTCAGAATCTCCTAATACATGTCTTTTTCCCTTGATTAAATTTAAAGCTGTTTTTTGTGCATAAAATTGATGTTGTTCAATAAATTATTTAGATTTAAATTCTGTTTAAGATAATTAATATAACTGAATATACTATAATTAATTAAGTATTTTTAAAGTGTAGTACAGTTCTCTGAACCACTCTAATTGTAGTTATTTTCAGCATGCTGAAAATCGTTTAAACTAATCATAAATTTTTGGTAAAAAAACCCCCAGCTAGATCTGGACTTAAATTTTATTTCACATTTCCAAACTCACTCTATTTCAACACTGCT